CGATGGTGTAAGCATTTTGAATAACGATAGCCTACAGTGTGTTCTTCAACGGTAGCTGAACGTAATTAATCTTTTACAACTTCATCCAGTTTGACAGCTCGACAAAGTTTGAAGGTTTCTGAAGATGGTTCGTTAAAATGTTGTTTTGAAATTCGTCCATCGTCTAAATTGTAATATTATAAAATGTACCCGAAGAAGGAAGCGGAATCCAGGTCTCGAAACGTTTTAGCTTTATAATGATATTGTAATTTAGACGATGGGTAATGTCCAAAAGAACAATTATAAATATTTTAAAAAAATGCATTTCAGTCGAATACGTAGGTAAAGACCAATGTTTCGGAGGATCACAACGTCTCCACCTTCATCTTAAAACTTCTCGATGGAGATGATAATTTTTGTCCGTCCGATTAAATTGTCTGTGAGCTGCACAGCTCGTCATGGTTATTTTCGCATTTAGTGGGGGGCTCAACCCTCTGCTAGATTTGTACTCTTACCAGATGAGTTACAAATATGAGTGAAGAGAACGTGTTAGTTCAGAAACTTCAATGCTGATAATTCTTTGGTCAGAGGATCCAAGTGTTCGACACAGCTTTCTAGTACCGCTATTACTATCTTTATGCGTGTTTATTTATTTGCGGTTCGCTTAAGAAACGCTGACAGTGGCACAAAGAGAGTATATTCTTCTAAAGATGTTTAACATAGTTTCATTTGTAACAGTGATGTGATTTTGTGAACTAAGAACGGGGTTCTTTAATGATATTCAAGCGAGTTTTACCCTTTACTACATTGTATCATTTTTTACAGAATCCGGATGACAGATATTTCTGTCAGAGTCTAATAGAATTATTTAAAAGTTTAAGAATAGAAACTGCCTTCTTCAGGAATGAAATCGACAGGTGGATGTTAAAGGAAAACGAAAATCCTCAGGTTCGATCAGTGACTATTAATTCATTAGTTAATTGAATAACTGGCTACATACAGCAGCTAATTTGTAACTATCCAAGTATGTTCTAAGTGACATATGAACTCACTAGGGGACAATATCCTACTGGAGAAAATAACAAATTGGTAAAATATCCTTCTCCCCCCCCAAACCGAAGGTTCATGAAAACCTGACACTCCGACAAATTAACCTAGTACACACCAACAAACCCCATTTTTTTAGGATCTGTATTAATATTATCGTATTTATGAATCGGCCACCGAAGTGGTTTTTAATTCATTTCATAGAGGTAAGTAGTCATGTCTGGTTTTTTAGCAGGCAGTCTTAAATTTTATCCTTGTAGTCGCTTTCCTTGACATTCCGGATTAACCTTGCCTTTTTTAACAGGTGCTTCCAGGCTCTGACTGGATTTAAAGACTCCGGTCTTTTTTTTATATTTCTTTGTCCATTAAAACGGTTGTAAAATAAAAAAGCGTTACTACGCATTCAGCATTGCCTGTGTTTCCCCAAACCTCATCCAATTAAAGCAATCTGAAATTGTATTTTATTTCCTCAATGTTTTCTGTGCCATTTATTTTACTTTATGTGAGGTGAGAGACGTCAGACAAAGCCTTGTAAAAGACATAGATTGCAATCGGCCGCTAATGTTATTATCGTTTAAATATTCTTGTTTAATACAGCTTAAATTCTAAAATATACTTAAAAGTGTATAAGCTTAGCTCCAAATGGCTTTTACTTGTTCAGTTCTACGCGAGGTTTATTGTATCTTTATTATTTAAATCTTGTCCGTCTAATCACAATAAATTCTTATTAAATATTAAAATATTACAATAATTAACATTTAAAATATTTAAAAATATTAAATGATGTTCTTTATCAAAATATTCGATTTACATTAGACCATCATGATGACGGACAAGATTTAAATAATATATATTTATTATATCACAATATGACGCAACTTTACCATCTTATTGTATCTTGTTTATATTTATTTGGTGTTTTTGTAGGATTAATTGAAACATTACCTTCACCCTTTCAATATCTACAGCCAACAAGTTGTGAGATTTCAACTCTAGAAAGTATACGTTACCATATGCTTATTCTAACAGAAGATTGTTTAACGGTGAGTCCGAAGATGGCTGTCTTTTGAGTTATAACGCCGTGTAGTCACACTGATGATGGAGGCAGCATGAATCACTGAAACGTTGGTAAACTTCTACCACACTACACGGCGCTACAACCCAGAAGACAGCCATCTTACAATTTTTCACCAGTTTAAATTTTACCCGTAGATGTTGGCTCTGCTGGGGACACAAATTTCTTCAACAGTGTTAATTATTCCTTGGCACAGGAACATACAAACACAAGGCGAACTGAAAGTTAGTGCCTAGTACTCGCTGACGCTCCCTGTGCACTTGTTCTTTTCACCTTGAAAGATGGAAACATGTTTCTCAACTCCTGAGTATAAAATCTTGTTAAATGTGAGATTTGAGATCTCTTGGCTGTGAAGATGATGATCTCCAGAGCTCAGCCTCAAATCCTTTCCTCTGACCCTGCATAAATCCCCAAACTTTAGTCCTGAAGATGGAGACAGTAGTGGCAAGTGTAAATGACTCCAAAATCCAGATTAACAACATGATAATCGTATTAAAATTGTTAGCAGAATTGTCTGAAATTTTTATGCTTAAATGTTTGGGCGTCGCAACTTGCCAGCGTCCGGCTCGATGTTTCGGGGTTGCGTTTGCCGACACGCGAGGTCCTGTTAGGCGTCCTTCTTACCCAGCTTCCGTATTTCTGTAGTAGAATGCTCTGATGTCGTGATGGCCAGCCAGTAGGAAATGTTTTCACTCGGAAGAAAATGTATCTTCCACTTTGTCTTTAAGTCGGTCTTCTGTACTCTTCGTTGATAAAGAGAAAGACTTTATTTCACTCAGGGAAGACAGTTTGTCCGTGTAAGTATCCAAACAAGAAATTACAATCTGCTGCAACAACCAATGACAGATTAGGGTTAGACGAAGGAAATTGGAAAATATCCTCCTGAGACTTTTCAAAGGAATCAGTTGACATTTTTTCAAAACTGCAGAGGCAGCCGACTTTGAAATTTAGGTCACTGCTCACTGTTCTGTCCTTCTCTGTATAAAATCCTGGAGCCGGTCTCCTTTTTATCATCTCTGAAACAATTGGGAAATAAAAAGTGCACACAAATATTTCTAACTAAATGCCCCAGGAGAAGCTACTGCTTTCGATATCTATGCATAATCGATAGTATAATATTAAAGTCGATCTTAGAGGACTACGACGTGGGGCCGTGTACAGCTAACTAGTTTAATGATGGGGATATGGTTGAATTGGAACAGAGTAATGATTATTGTCAATCCATTTCAGAAATTTATTGAGCGACTATCAGCTTTTCAACAAAGATTTTGCATTTTCAAGTTAGTAGTCAGTTTCAAATCTAAAACTTCTTGACGATGGTGAAGAGTCAATTGAATAAAAATTTTCTTGGATATTATCCATCGTCTAGTAAATATAAAACGTAAAACGACGTTTCGGAGATGGGACTCTATCTCCGTCTTCAGGTTCCTACCTCATCTCCGAAACGTCGTTTTACGTTTTATATTTACTAGACGATGGATAATATCCAAGAAAATTTTTATTCAAGTTAGTAGTCAGTTATTTAGTTGATAGTAATTTAAACAGTAAACAACTCTTAATAAATAACGGAGAGCTCTTTAATCGTCTTCGGTTTGCGTAATAATTGAATGCGGTGTTTTAATTACTTCTTGGAACCCAACAGCCAGACCCTGAAGTAGGTACGTGCAGCCTCAGAACGTAGTGAATGTCCAGTCACTTAACGGGACATGTCGCATCAACAACGTCGTTTGTGTTGCTAATTTCCGCCCCAAATTCTGTTTTCAACGACATTCAAAATTAAGTTTTGTACCCACACAAAAGAAAGCTCGCCTCTTTTCTCTATTCTGAAACAATTTTCAAGCTAGTTTTTTTTTTTAAGCCCCCGGAGGAAAACTCCGTGTTGCCTAGACCACGGCCTTGCCCAACACAAGTTTTGGCTGCCTCACAGCACAGATTACTAATCATTAAATATATATATATATATATATACAAGCCTGAAGTTATAACAGGTTTCATTATTAATACGAAACGCTGAAGTAATCCGCATTGTTTCCCAGACAATTTGTTATAATTGGCTATAAACCGTGATGCTCTCTGCTCTTGGAATAACAAGTCACAGAAATCATAAATTAGTCACCCTATAATCATAAACGTCTTCAGTAAGAATGTGATGTGTCATATCTCGTCCGCTTCAACAGTCGCCTTACTTTAATTCATTATAATGAATTTTAATCACTGTTAATAATTCTCAGAAACGATAAAAGTGTAATTATAAGGTGATAAATTATTAAGAGTTCTTGGAGCCAATCTGTATTCCTTTCCGTGCAGTGAATATGTTATTGTTGATCTTAAGGGTAGGAACGTCGCGTGTATTTGTAACAAAATAATTTACCAACGTTTCAGAGGAACGTGCTGCTTCCATCGTCATGATGTCTGTGACGTAGTTTTGTTAAAAAAATGTGCAGTCACAAGGTTACACCTCATTTGTCTCAATCATTTCTTAAATTTTCAGTTCCCTTCTAATTAAACTTGCTTAATATTTAATCTGTACTGTAATTAAAAATATCATCTGACGCACAGAGGTTTCTGGCTTCGATTACCTCTCGTAAAATGCAAATTTCATTCTGTATATTGTGTTTCTCTTTGTAAGTAATTGCCTGTCAAATGTCTGAAGTTTTATTGCTTCAGAATAAATTCTAGAGGGACCAATCGATGAGGATGCGATATCTACCAACATATCAAAGCGATCCCTGTGAATAAGTTATGGCCAGAAGTGTCATTGAAGTGTTGTTACACCCTTGTTCATGAATGAGATTTTGACGTGTCTCAATAGGAGCTATAAAGGGAGTTCAAAGCAGAGGAGGGGCGCAGGCAAATTGTGTGCAGACAGCTGTTTAACGGGGCAGAGGCCGTTCGACCAGCAGTGCTGATGCTGCTAGCAGGTCGCCCCGCGTCGAAGCGGCAGTGTTCAGCGCGAAGTCCTTGCGATAGGTCGATAGTTTTGCTGTGGACCTCCGCGAGTGTTTCGTTCATAAGTGCGCGCTAGCTGTTCAATACCGACATACGATTTAGTGTTATAACTCGGTTCCAATATTTTCGTCTTTAAAGGACAAACCAGTGATTTTATTTTGTGGAAGTCATCGTCAAAATTACATGAAGGTAATTTCTGTTTATATGTTTTTAAGACTTAAGCTTAAGATTCTGAATTAAATAATTTGAGACGGACACTTCATTTACATTCAGTGGTTTGACGTCCACATTTTTTTGCGTATTACATTATGGATACTGTCCTTGAAATCCGACTAACGTGTATGTAATTACGTGTGGATTTTATTACAGTGGTCATTCTACTCATCGCTATGACAATCACAGTTTTCGGGGGTGAAGGGAGGGTTTTTATCCCATGAGGTGACACCCCTCACAGATAAACTATGATTAAATATCCGGATTTTTCACTCGCAGCGTTCAAGAAATTTTGGTATAAAACTCTGATATCAAGAAGTGAGAACGGAACTAACTTCAGACAACAATTTTTTGCCATTGATTGTGTGAACAAACGCCACTTCGCTGTTTCCTAAAAAAAACTTCACACCAGGACTGTTACATGTTTCATACTAACATCTTAATATTTGGATAGGATCTGGGGTTTTCACGGCGGTGAGTATGAAGATAGTTGTCTTCTGGGTTGTCGTTCAGACGTCGCCCTGATGATGGAGGCAGCAAGGATATCAGAAACGTCAGTAAACTTCTACAGTACTTTTCGGCACAACAACCCAGAAGACAGCCATCTTAATCTTAATATGAAACTTTGCAATTTATCGTGTGTTGATTAATAACAAAATCGAAGCGATCAGCGCGTAAGGCAAGTTATCTGAAGTAAGTGTGAAGTTCTGTAAAGTTTAAAACTGGCCGAAATTCGTCAGTGCATGAGGTTTCTATTCTTATTTGAAACACATTACAGAATAAAATGTTAAAAGTAGTGAAATTTTACAGTGAGAAAGAGATATTATATTTTTTTTCAGACTAGTTTAGCATTGGTGATCCTTTGCTCTGTAACGGAGTGTGAACTGGTCGGTATATGTCGACGTTTCGGAGACAGTACGCTTCTCCGTAACATTGGCACGGCGCAAGAATCCAAAGTAACAAATCATCACCACCGCCGCCTTGAAAACCTGAAATATCGCACAGTTTAAGATTGTTTAACAAGATCGATCGATCGATATTTGAATTTTTTCGCGGTAACTGATAGTAGGAAACAAAAATCTCTGCCGATATTTGAGATGAGCTTGCGAGTGTTCATTAAGGTAATGACGTCGAATGTAGGGGCGGGGAAGGAGTGGGTTGATAGACCGTATTTCCCATACAAGAGAGCTTGTCAAAAGAAAACATTGTCAGTAGCTAAAAGAGTGTTTTAAAACCCTTTCACGAGATAATGCGAAAGCCAGCTACCCTTCTCACTTTGTCCGGTAAGCAGCCTTCTGTGTGCTTACGAGTACACACATTTCATTACTTGTTTTTTATTCATAACCTGACAGACTTCTGGTTACTGTGTGTGAACAAAATGGTGTAGATAACCTGTCACATTTTGATCATAATGTTTTGTTGCTGGTAGTCTGCTGTTTATGGTAAAGGCCACGGAATGCAAGGAGTACATCCAGGGATGAGATTGACTCATCCTGTAGCTTGTATGGTGATAAATTCTGTAATATTATAACCATTTTTAAATTTGAGAGCCTTATTTTAAATTCTGCCAACATAACTTGTGAGATACGGGATTCGTGTCTCTGTCGCTTTAAGGTTTTTGTTGTAACAGAAGTTCATCTTAAACCCGTTTATTATGGTTTTTTGCTACTCACTTTCGTGTAAATTGTTAGTGTGTGACAGACGCTGTCATCAGCTCTTAATTCCAGTCTCTGGTGCACTATTTTTAAAAGAATAACAGTTTTGTTTAAAGTTAGAGTTGGCATTGATATTATAAAATCACATGTCATCAATGGAATAAGTGAGGCTAATGTACTGTAATTTAATAACAGTTTACTTTTTGACAAAACGTAATATTTTCAAACGTTGAAGCAACGAAGGTTTAAGACATTCGCCTCCTTTCCCAATGCCATCACCCCTTCATATCTGAGTATTATCACGTCTTCAGCTGAATGTTGGAGAAATTATTTTTATATTATTATTTACTTTTGTTATATATCTGCTGGAATTTATCACTTTATTATGCCACATAATCCGTTTATGCAAAAAAAATTTAAATACGTTAAAATGGTCTAACAAACGGGTAGTCTAAACCAGTTGTATTTAACCTTTTTTGTTCGCGTACCCCCAGATATAATTTCTCTTAAACTTTGTACCCCCAGAGTTGTTGGTGTATAATTCAAGTTATACATAGTATATAATCTACACCTAAAATAAATTAAATAAATTGCATTACTGATTATTCAATTTTTATCATAAATTTTTTTTTTTAAATTTCACCCCAGGTTGAATACCACTGGTCTAAACGGTCAGTGTTGTGATACCTAATGGATGTTTTGAAGAAAATATTGTTCGAGTGGTCTGCTCTGCTAACTGTATACATAACAATAGATTTTCATTTAAAATATTTCGTGGTTGTTTTATACTTCTCGTAACTCATGAATTTACCTTGTGAGATGCTGAAAATTGTCAGCTGAAAAGTTCAATTAATGACAGGAAAGGTATGTTTCCTTTGATAATGTATTACACATGGGAGGAAACTGGTTTCAGATCGATATATCTCGTGTGTAGTGTCGAAAGCGTGTACCACCACGTAAGTTGAAAATTCTTTTGCTGCAGAACTCGTTCCGCGCAAGCTGTGTCATCATGTTGGTGGTCACACGTGGCTCTACCATTCCACTTAACAGGTTTTAGGAACTCTTAATCTTAATGTAAGCGCTTCCGCTGTAAGGCCTTGGACACAGTGACTTACATTAGCGAGCTTATCTTTTAATAACAACTCAGTTTCCTGTTCGTTTATAGAGAACGCTGTTTTTTCCGTCGCGCTGATTTCTTGTTTACGTCATATGATTCAACCTCCAATAACACAGCAGAATTGTGCGCTAATGGGCGGGGTGATGGAACATATCACAGGGAGTACCTTGAGAGAAAAAATTGTCTGTGCTACTGAGATTTTTCCAGGTTTTCGTGGCTGAACAACCGGAAATATAAGAAGCAACCAGTCGATGCCTGCTGTAATTTGACTAAGGCGTCCATAAACGCAGTTGTATTAAAATTATCGATACATTTTTTTTTTAAAATTTGTAAGTTATACGAAACCTTGGAGAGTGTGAACTGTTTATGTCAACGGCATTTCGGGTCGACATATTTGGCTGACAGTTGTCCATTTCTGTTTGACATATTGAATGGATCACATGCGTTGTGAACGCCATTGTACGCCGTTGTACGTGCTAGTGACAGATCTGTTCTCAGGCTAAGCGCCATCTAGCTCCATATTCATCACTCAGCGTATAACTTGATATCATGGCTTGTAATGGAGGAACTGCGACCCTACGTGGTACTTAGATGTTCGTCTTCCTTTATATTTCTTTCTGTTGTACTCTGTCCTAGGTCTGCACCACTCTGTGGAGCCATTTTTATGGTGGACAAGCCCACAGTAGTAATTTATATTCTTTTCTCAAAGTAACAAAGAAAAGGTTATTATTACAGTTACAAATCTTACGTTGCAAAGGTGAATTTCGTCTGGGATTATGTGTTATATAGTCCGGTGGACTTATGCTGACTTTTAATAGGTTTTTGCTGCCCACGGTTGTGTAGAGGGACTCGGTAAATCGAGGTTAGTCGGTGTCGCTGTCGTGATTCGAACCGGTCATCTTCTAAATAGAACGTCGTCGCTTGGGCGAAATTGCTTGGTAGTGTAGACATGCGTGGACTGTGCCCGTGTCCGTTATGTAGAATTAAAGACACTGTAACACTCTGAGGAAATCTAAAAAAAAGCCTGCAGTAGTTGGGATTTGTCAAAATGACGCTCTATTAAAATGGTATACGTTATTACATACGTCTTTGTTTTATGTGAATCCGAATTAACAAAAGAATGACTTAAGATATTGTAGGTGCGTCATATTGTGATTTTATTTAAAAATAGTATTAAAATATATTAAAATTGTCCGTCAATCACAATAAAGTAATATAAGATAATTAAATGGTTAAAATATTATCCTTTGTTCCGTATCGAGTACTCGATTTACATATGGAACATTCTCGACATGTTTCGGCTTTCATAGAGCCGTCATCAGGTGTATGTTATAAACTCTTAATTCAATTACTAATTTTTTAATTTTCTTATCATTTCACTCCGACAATATGATAACATCAATGATATATAACACAACAATAAATGTTGATACAATGTGAAAAACGAAGAAATGATAAGAAAATTAAAAAATTAAAAATTAGTAATTGAATTAAGAGTTTATAACATACACCTGATGACGGCTCTATGAAAGCCGAAACATGTCGAGAATGTTCCATATGTAAATCGAGTACTCGATACGGAACAAAGGATAATATTTTAACCATTTAATTATCTTATATTACTTTATTGTGATTGACGGACAATTTTAATATATTTTAATACTATTTTTAAAAGAATGACTGCAAAAATTCGTTGCGTAGGGCGATCACGGCATACAAAATGCCGGATCATGAACGTAAGGTAAGAATTTGGAACAACGGATATCAGAATATCTTATATGCGTATAATAAACAAATGTTTATTGGCTGAGGTTAAGGAATTTTGGGCCTTATGGGATATTTACGAAAGTTTGCGTTACAGCAGATGCTGTGGTAATGCCATTCGTGGCATAATATGTGTGAATGTGTGTTGTTTTCATGGTATTGTGGGCCTTATGGGATTTGGAAAGTCCTGTAATTCTTTACCTGGGCGACGATAGCAACCACAAGAGAAGGGACTAGAAAATTTCAAAGAAATCTGCAAAAAATCGAAACATAAGGAATCAAGACTGAAAGTGTTCGTAATCCTTCTGTGGACTCCAGAGGGCTAAAGGTTAGATCGTAAAGACGATCATCTGTTGTTGACGCATTCCTGTTAACACTCGTGAAGGGCACTGATAAGCTGAAGTACAGATTCATTCCAGCGTCTGTACCCTTCGTCCTAA